CCGTGACGGCTCCGCCAAATCTTCTCGTGTCGCTAAGCCACTGATCGGAGATTGCGGCGTCGCCCATAGCTACTGAGGCAACGCGAGGGAAGCCAATCAGAAGGAAACCGTGAATTTATTATACCGAATTCGGCGTATCCTTGTTTGGTCAGCTCTCAAGAAGCCGAAATTACTTGCATCTGGGAGTGCCGTTTGCACGCGCGTAAGCCACCTCGTAAGCTCCGCCGCCGAAAGCCGTCCGAACGCGATCGGTACTTCACGTCCGATCCGTTTATCGATGCGATTATATTGATCGACCGTGTGCCGAGAGTGCCGTATCGTCCATGTAGACGGATCCGAGTAGAAAAAAATTACACGCAGATCTGCTCTCGTCTCGAAACGAAAATGTGATCACGTGAGACTTCTAGCGACGGCATTATTCGGACACTCTGGGAAAGTAGAAACGCGCTTTTTCGAATTCGAGGCTAATCCCATGTAACTCCTTTCCAGTGTCCTCCTCTCCGAATCAGGCCGCGCGCATGTGAACGTATGCGCGCGCGAATAAGCTCGTAATTAAAATCGTACTCGGTCGTTCGCGTGTGTTTCTTCGCCGGCTGGACACGAACACGTTCTGCGAGAATTTCAGCTGACGCGGAGATATCTCTTCTCGTTACATCTATCTGGCCATCTTTCTAGATCCTCTTATCCGCCTTTCGTTTGTAAGTCGCGTCACAGCGCAGATTGTCCTTTCACAGATTCACCTATGTGACGCTTAGAGTATAATGTTGGTTTTAGATCCACAATTACGATATTACAAAATATTTTCAAAATATTTTCATACATGCATACACAAACAGTTTGAAATATAATATTAATTTCCTAATGAATGAATGTGTTATCATTATAATTAACGTAATTTTCAGGTAAACACACGTAATTTTTTCTACGTAACATATTTACGTGGAAAAAAATTTTCATTAAAAGCCAAAGTACGTGACAGAATCAAAAGTTTCCGCGGTCTTCCCTGAAAGCATGCAATTAAGTAAGCTTGCAGCGTAATAATTCGAAATGTTAGATAATATTTCCACGTATTGTGCAAAAGCTTTCTCCCTCTCTCTTTCTCTCTTTCTCTTTTGTCATTCGGGTGGCATCCAAGGATAGTATAAGGCAAAGCCCGAAACTCTACGCTCGAAATCATTCCAAGTTTCCCGTGTACTACGAAGGGTGTCGGATAGCGGGGCAAGATTCCGATTACGTTCTACCTCGCTCGGTTCGTCGACGAGATTCCTCCGACAGTTGTAGCCCCGGGAACGTCTACGCCCTTCTCTCGTAAGTCCACGATTCCGCCTGTGGTGGACTACGTAAGGACGACTGAGAGAAAGAGCGCGAGAGACCATAAAGAGGATACTTCCTCGAGGCACGCAGACCGAATGGCGGCAAAATTCGTCTAAATTTTGGCCGTTCGCCTCGCTCAGAATCCCCGTGCGTTCTCCTTGCAAGCGCGAGACATTTACTGGAAATTGCGGATGCCGTCTTTCCTCACGGAGGAAAGCGACCGGACGCCGGTCACCGGGCACGAAACACACCGAGTTTCGCGGTGAACTTGACAGTTTACACACGCGTGCACGTGGTCGCGCATAAGCCTGCACGAGATTGCGCCCGATTCACAGGGCGCTCTGTGTGGTCGCCCGTGTCTATTCTACACAGCCGTGTCTATTCTACACAGCCGTTGCTCGAGTGCATTAATTAAATACATTCCTCCCCGGTGGCGTTTCGTGCACGTCATCCTCCGTCCGACCGAATGTCCACCACCTTTGATTGTCCACGGAGTTCCTATTGTGGCCGACGAAACTGTCTCTATGTTGTGCGAAATCTCGTGGGTGATCGCTCGGGCGCGGCGAGAATTGTTTTGATGAAGCTTGCGCCGTCCGAGTTCATTAGCGGCGCTAACTGATTTCGTACCTTCCGTGGAGGCTCCTCCGTTGGAGTGTGCCGCGAGTATGACCGGCCGGCAATTTTCGCTAATGCATTAACGCGCCGCGCAGTTTTCGGACGACTGCTATCCCGCAATCGCCGTGGGATCGCTTCGTACTCGCGTTCCTCGCGAGCCGTCGCTCGCGTGCTCTTTCGTGTCTCGCGTTCGCGTGTCCCACATTACGTACAAATTATAGGCATTACTTCTCGTGTCGGTCCACGTTTAAGATTTCCCGCCGATCGATACGGCACATATAGTACGAGGTATCCGCGCGGCTAACATGTGATTTCTCGCAGAAACATTGCGTTTTCGCGTCCAAGATGCTATCTCGCGTCCGGAGAGTCAAAATATTTTACAAGATGAAGATAAGCGAACCGATTTCACGAATTCAACGATAAAATAGGCAAGAGGCGAGACGTATAATGAGCTAACAAGACGCTAGGAACAATGAATATTTTACGGAAAATTAAATAAGGAACTGCCAGGGTTGGAAGTATAATAGACCGTATCTAAACTATTTTCGTCAAGACTTACCGTGCGAGAATACGAAGCGTTCGTTCGTCGCTTGCTATTGGCTTTATATCCCCGGCAGGGAGAAAGAGAGAGAGAGAAGGGTGGTGGGCAATTGCTCGATACGCCGTGGCGTTTAATAAATGAAAACGCACGAGTAGAGCAAGGCGAACGCGGACGAGAGGTACCGCCTTTATCTTTATTTTAGATGAAGTCGTTTCACGTGCTTCCTCTCTCCTTGCTCTCCGGTCAAGCCTACGAGGGGAGTGGTGCACGTATTTGCGGCTCTTACTTACAGGACCGACACCTTTTCACGGTCGTTGGCAGACCTTGCTCTCCTGGGGCGTCGGCGGCACCGTCGTCGGTTAGGTGCATTATTAAATACGGTCAGACGATGGCAAGCGTTAACCGAGTATAACGAAATAGGCAGCGCGCGAGACATAGGCAGCGAGCGAGCGAAGTCGCTGAATATTCAGGCGCAACGAGCGTCTGAACACTATATTTCAGTGCCGTCTACAGACGTTTGCTCCGTGACTATAAGTTTCCAGTTAGAAACTTTCTCGGCAGAGCATAAAACCAATTTATACTTCAACGAGAAGTCCACAAAGAAATAGCTTAAGCGCGCCACAGTGAAATCACGTTGCTGAAGCAGTCAGATCGATTTTTTACACGTTCCTCAAAGTTACATGATAAGTTGAGTGGACGATCGAGATGTCACATTTCCGGTTAAACTCGTGTAAAAGTGGTCGGTTTAAAATAAGAAAAAAAAAAATAAGCGCTTGGGAAACGTGAGATGTAAGATATCACATATCAAGATTTTAAATTGAAGAGAATAAAGACCATAAATGCGAATAAAGTAATTATCGCGAATCATCACCGTTCGCTCTTGCGGAGGTAAAATTCCTCGGGCGTGTGAAACCCGGTCCCCCGCGTTTCTCTGACGCTTTGGGTGCGGAGAACCATTAACCTGACACGCAAGTGGCGTTTTTCGTTCTATAGGACTGTAATTAAAAATTCTTGTGTAGTTTGAAAGTGGATTCATACGGAAGTTCAGCGTGTTGGCAGACCAAAGTTCCGCGCTTGCCTGCAAATCGTGGCACTGACGGCTACTCGGCGCCATCGAACTAAATGATCATTAATTGCGAGCTCCGGGTACATTATGGGAGTTACTTGAACGACAGCCATGTCGCTAATATTAAGTTCCTTGGCAGAAGAATGCCGGTATCTCGCTCAATTATAACTTTCTGCGAAACTTGTTTATTAGTGACACGAAAAATTTAGATCTATCTTTGCCACTTTATGTTAATATATCTATTATTTGATAGTCTCGAGAAAGTTTAGCTGCATCAGGATCTTATAAAAAATAGGACAGAAATAATATAGAAAGAATCCGATCCGTCTCCATATTAGTCTCTGTATTAATTTTATAAAAAGCTTTATCCGCTAATCTTTATCTGCTTCTGCATTATAATTCAAAAATATAAAACATAATTTAGTAGTTTTTTTTAAAAATATTTTTCTAAACGTGTACAAACGTTTCTAAATGAAAACTATTTTTATTCGATTACAGTTTTATGTATCGAGATTATTAATGTGAGTTTATACATAAAATATGATATACAAATTGATTATGTTAACGATTTGCAATCAAACAACGTTTGATTTTTGCTTTATCTGCGATAATGATTACAAGTAATAATTAAAATTATATGACCACTATGTCTTGATACGAAATAATTTCAATTTGATACATAGTTGTGAGAGGTGACGATGTAGCCAAATTCAATCATACAATGTAGCATCACTTCGCCACTACGGGCTCGTTACTGTATCATCATCGTCGGTAACGAGCTCGTATCGTCATTACGTTCACTGATTCGCGAACCGTGATCCGTTGTATTGTTAGGTACGAGATATTCCGAGAGAGAAATACAGGTAATAAATAATTACTCAGTACCGTCTTTGTTATCTTGTTTGTAAGATTCGATAGGAACGCTCTTAACTACATAACGCGTAAATCTCGTTAACGATTTCAACTTGAATTAAAATGAGCTTTGAGTGCCAGAAATAGAAATATAAAATAAAACAATTAAATTCGTCGAGTAAAATAATATGGTATCTCTCTTATAACATTAACAGTTATGTTCGTTCCTCATATAATATTTTATAATAATATTTTATAATAATTGTTAAACAAAAATGTACTTGTATATTTTAAAGAAATTTATAAGAGCTACTTATGAGGCAGTAAAGAATCATTGTATTGCGCTTGTGCTTAATGGTCTGACTCTTGATTATTTCAACTTATCTTGTGTTCGGGGGGTATATTTTGGCAAGTGAACTATGAGTAAACAACATGACGTCAGTGGAACTCAAGGTTGAGCAGGTGCTGGCAAACGGGAAAGAAGAAGAAAGGGAAGGCGCGCGAGGATGCAGGAGGGAAGCCACCCCGGGGGTGGCTCATGCGCGGGCGCGGCTTTGCGGGTCAGAGTGCGTCGGGTATATAACCGGGCGGATGCCGTCGTCCCTTAGTCTCGCGCTTATCGTCGTCGCGGCGACCCGCTCGAGCTCGACGCCGATTGTCCGATGTCGTTACCGTGACCTGTGACATTTCGATGTGCGGTGCGTACCGATTTGTACGCCGTGTCGGTCGGCAACGCGGCCGATAGTAGACCGTAGATGGTAGATCGTCAAAAGGTGCCTGCGTTTGTTTCGTCTGAATGAACAGGGAAACGCACAGCTACCATCTCCGATGATATCACTGATTAGGAGAAAATTACATTTTTACACCTGCAATCACACATTTTAGCGTCTTCAATACGAACACATGCCAGGCGCTGTCGCGTGGCGATCAAGAATCAGAGATCAATAATAAAAGATGAAGCAATTAGATAAAAAGTAGTGAATATTATCTATTTCAAACGGTCAGAATATTACGCATTTCATGTAAGATATTTTGGTAAATTCGAACGAGATCGGAGATCGAATATCTCTAACTCTAAAGCCTGCTTATATTTTTTTACCGCTCGGAATTCTCTCATTCCTTCATCAGAAGTCATTCAATACGGTTTGGCGCGGATGAATAAGACGAACGTTAAGAAACGTTCGTCAGCTACCACTTAAATGTCGAGAACGTCCGACTTTTCATTCGAGTGACTTTTCATCTCGTCGGAGGCAAGCAGTGGGAACTAGTGGGATCGTCGGGGCATTCGATTCTGACCAAGCGAAAGCGGAGAAAAAAATTGTCGTAATACTTGTCTAAAGATTGAATTCGACAGTGCGGGAGGTGAAGCCGGAGAAAGACGAGGAACAAGAAGAGGCGGCCAAGTGGCAGTGGCGCCAGGGGAAAGAGATAGTGGCGAGAGCAGCAGGAGGTTGGCGGGAGGTGAAGGTGCTGCCGCGGAGGATTTCAAGCCGTGCCCCCGGCGAGATACGAGTTGCTTGTATAGATCTATATGCACAGTAAAATTGTGGCGACGGAGGAACCTCGGTTGCGAATATCTGGGTCATACAGCCGTCTTCTCGGCGTTGCAGCTTGTTCTCCATAATTTTGTGAAATTCCCTCGATGCGGCAAAAAAGTGGAGACCCATCGGTGACCAAAGGAGCTCTTACCTAGTTAAGATTACTCGAGAGACACGACAGTATAGAACGATAGATGTAACTGCGAAAATGTAAAGTAACGATACATCGTTGCGCTTAACGTTTCGCGAAATGAACGATATGTTGAATATTAGATAAGGACACACGGAGCACGAATATCGAGCGAAATGCATAACGCTGCGATTTTTTGCGTAATTGAAAATCCGTTTGCAGAGTAGATGGATAATGGGTATCGAATACATGACCTGCTGCGGAACAAAGCCGCAACCTATAGGAACCATCGCGTTAATGCCACTTATGTCTGAGAGCGGTAAGTGAGCTATAGATATATCGCGTTTTACTCCGCCGAGAGAATCCGTAATGATCCGCACGGATCAGTGATTTGCAGCTCAAGAGTGGATCGGCCCGATACCGACCGCGCGCGATAACGAGCTGTTACATCGTTATGCGGTTACGTAAAAAGGATCCACTTGGATTCCCACGGGGACAATTGCCGAGAAAAATCCACGCGAGGGCTATTATCCGAATCGTGATCGTTTCACACGCGACAACTCGTTACCACCTTTCATCTTGAACACGCTCGAGCCAACCGACTCGATAAATAATGAACTCCCGCAGTCATTTGTCAAGCTCACCGGGGACAAACGAATGTTCGTCGGGGGTAGAGTCGTCGGCCTAAATGGGAGAGATCAACGGAAGGCACCGATTAGCACCGCGACGTTTCGTGTTTTATCGCTAGTGTTACACAAGAATCATGTCCCTTTGACCCGGGAGTCGAAAAGTCAACGGTGTATAAGCGATCGGTCTTTACGATTTATTACGCTCGCAAAGTGATATATCGATGAAAGGAGCACCGAGCTGGAATGCCGAGTTTCGTAATTAAAATGATGGTTAGTAGCGATCCTTTCGAAGGGACGCGGAACGCTTTTCGATCGTGAACTCTCACCGTGAGCGTTCGCCCTAGAAATGCGAGAGTCAGCTGATTCGGATCGCGATCAGTGCAGTCATACCGGGCAGTGCGATCAGTCGCGCGGGAGATAACGGTGCCCGAAAAAACGACTTGTAACTTCATGACAGTGCTCGCACTCGAGACTCGCGGACGAACGAACGTGAGGTCTTATCTCGTGCGTGGAATCGGGCAACATCGAGCAACATGAGGCGACGAAACAACGGTTCCTCCTGCTTCTGCCAGACGTCTTCGATCAAGAGAAGTGGCCGTGGCGGATGCAACGAGACTGAGGCGAACGAGCCACCGGGATGGTGCATCTACGCGGCGGTCGCGCTCGTCGCGGTCGGTTGTTATCTGAACGCGCTCGACTGCGACTTCGTGCACGACGACATACCGGCGGTAGTGAGGAACAGGGATGTGATCGGCGAGGCATCGTGGAGCAGTGTGCTCAACGACGATTTCTGGGGCACGCCAATGGAGAGCCGCAATAGTCACAAGAGCTATCGACCTTTCACCACTCTGACGTTTCGGTGAGCCAATATTTCTCTCACGTTTATCGAGCTCTTTGTCGAACTGTTTGTTTGAGAATTAGATAGAGGGTTGACTTGATTAGGTCCTTTTTAATGCGGGAGCTTTAAAATGACGGTTAAAAGTAAAGCCATCCGCGATCGGGAATTGAATTACGTTCACGCGGAATTATTTATGATCATCGAAAGGGTTCGAAAGGATATTTCAACCGATTACATGATTCGTCCGTTTCGCTATTTTAGGTATATTTTAGGTATATTATCACGTTTTGATTTAATCGGCGGTCTTCTCTTTTCTTCTTGCGGCTCGTTTGTCAAACCGGTCCTTTAAGACAATCCGTTAAACAGAAAAGTGAATACGATTCGGTACACGGTCGTATCCGTCCGGATAAAATAAGACGGCAAGAAATTGTCTCGAGAAACGTGTCTGGTCGCCTGACGTTCCAAACACATGACACGACCACGTAGCTCGCAGCACTGGCCTCGCCGTTCTTATCGGGACATCCTGTATACATATATGTATACCGTAGTGTATATATATATATATATATATATATATATATATATATACCTTCATGTATACATACATCTGTAGATACATAGCCATATATAGGTATATCCATGCAATCGGAGATGCACCTTATGGTCGTACCACTAAGGACGGATCGGCAAGAACCGTTCTCTGACCACGACGGAAGCGACCGAGCATACGGTAGTGTGTGCAATAGCGTGTCGTGTAGAGCACACGAAACTTCCACCCTTCCTCCCTCCCTCCCGCCCGCCCTCCTGTCCTCCTACCCGCTCTCTGGCCACCGATTTGATGCATGGATACCAGTTTGCCACTCCACGTGCAATACTGCATATTGGCTGGTATTGGACGATCCATCACGCCGCAAGACACCGGCACATCGCTCATCCACCCTTAACGCTCCAGATGCTGTTGCCAACTTCGACGAGGTGTGCGGGCGCGAAATGCGCGCGGCGCGCGGGCGGTTCGTTCGGGGGAAAGAGAGAGGCGCCGGGTGTAGGGCGAGGACATAAACGCGCCTTCACGTTTCGCGCGTTATCGGAAGTGGAACGCATCCATAATCCCCGGGGCGCGGAGACGCCGGCGCCGCGGCGCGCCGCGAACAGCATTCGTCTCGTCGAGAAGACGAGACTTTAACGATCCGGATCGCCACTGACGCGCTACGGAGCCGCCCTTATATCACGCGGGGGGCGATACCCGGCATCTCTCATTGTTGCCGCCACTCGATTCGCATGAGGAGAGGAGTGGTTTATGCGCGTGCGAAAAATGCGCCGCTTATGCTGACACGTGGTTGAAAGGATAAGCGAAGATTTATGTGTCAGCCGTTTAAGGCGAGAGTTGTCTACCGCGCGTAGATATCGGACAGTTGATATATCGTTACCTTTGTTGTTCATTTGACGTGAGAAGTGCCATATATATGTATATATATATATATATATATATATATATATATATATATATATATATATATATACTTTCATACGTTTTATCTCATCGATATCATCGCGTATACTGGCTACGCCCGACCCACAGACTGATAGACGTGGGCAATCTTGTACTCAACGTGTGGCATATCATTTTGTAGATCGCATCAACAATCGTTCTCCCGTGTTTAATTCGCGTGTTTGATCGCTTTGCCGACGTTTTTGACGCGACGGGTACTAATTGAGATGGTATCAGCCGCGCGCGGGGTGTCTTATCGCGAAGGGATATTTGGAAAGCAGTTGCCCACGGTTATTTACAGTTCCCGAGAATCGCGCGGGCACGTATTTGATAGGAAAAATGGGATTTCATGCGAGTTGTACGTATATTTCAGCTACTTCGTTTCGCCCGGAAATAATTTACGGGTGCGGTCGAGCGTGAGTCTTTGCCCCAGCGTCGAATGAATAACGCAGAAAGCTCGCCGAGCGATTCGTTTCCACGTTTACGAGAGGGCGAGCTTCACGGGTTGGCGACCATGTTAGATTATTACGTCCGCAAATAGAAACGGACTGCGGAGTACGCTCCAGATAGTTTGATGGAGAAGAAAGGCTGGATAAAATCAAGTAACGCCTTATTACCTCGACTGAGAGTGCATACAGGTGTCTAATAATACGCAACGCTTGCTTGTCGAGATTGCGCCAAAATAGGTTGCTCTAATACGGGCGCCGATATTTATGAAATGCAATTAGCGTTTATTAGCGAGATACGTAAAGTATCAGAGTTAACTATCATTTCCGATTAAAACTAAGGAAATTAGGTCTAATATAAAGTCTGACGGTCTAATATAAAGTTACTAGCGTGCTTTTCTCCGAGTTAAAGTCCAGTATGCGAGAGCGATTATTGAAGCTCTGCAAACATTAAATTTACCTATCCAATTAACGCGGCACATTCATTCGCGCGATATTACGTTATTTACGTTCAGTTCAATTAAGAGAAATCTTCCTGTCCTCGGCGTGGCATAATATTCGTGCTTCTCTATTACGTTCTTTCTTCTTTAGCGGATTTACCAACGCGTCTAGTATGTACTTTGATAATACACACACCTACTCGTTCTCTCTCATCGAGATCTTTGTACTCGTACAATGACGATATAATCGCGTTCGTCGCAAGTTGGAACTTATATCGTTTCCCCGGAGATTTTTCTTTGTCTCATCACTTGTGGCTAGGAATACTATGCGCTTTGCGGCGAGCTGTCGTGGCCAAAAACCGTGACGGCGAATATCCACTGATTTTTCCGCGATAGCCGACGGCTATAAAGCGCATCATCTGAATTTGATCATCTCCGTTTGGTTTGTCCGTATTGAAACACGAACTATGAATTTTGCTATCTCTGTCGATGGTTTCTCTTTTAATCTAGATATTTTTTTTATATCTCACTATTTATATCTCTCACTATTTATATCACTATTTATTACGAGACATTAAATGGCGCCAATTGAGAGGGTAGTATTTCCGATGAATAGCATCGGTTAATGGTTTATTTAAGATTTCCTTGTAAGCGTCTATCTTTTATTGATTGGTTCACGAGGTTGTTGGCATTTTACTAGTATTAAATCACGATCAGCAGCTAAGTCCGTTATACGTTAGCTGATGATTTATGAGTTGGCCGACAGTAGCAATGGGCCACGCTTTGCGGCCGTTTCCTGTGAGGGAATAATTATTATTAAATTACTTGACCAGGACGCAACGTGGGGTGGAATCTCGTTCCACGGCGCTACTGACACGCGTGAATGATTGTGCTGCAAGCTGTAATTTAGACGTGCGATATAACTTTGTGTTGCGCAGCACCGTACGTCCCACATTCGATTATGCCGTCGTGTGATCCGTCGACTATGATATTTCATTTAGTCTTGCGATTAACTCTCATTATTGATAGAGATAGAGATTGGAATTTCACATTATCATTGTCAATATTTGATTTATAAATAATGTAGCAATGTCCACTTTTGAAGTGCGCTCAGTGCGCTCAGATAAGATATTTCTCCCTTGAACATGTGCTAAAATACGAGCACATTATCGCATCAAGGCGCGAGCTGACATATGTCCATGATCTTCTTGTGTTATTTATATACTAAATAAATAAAAATTTTGCAATATTGCATAATCACTTAAATGGTAATATTAAGATGAGAAATTAAAATTTTTTTGGTAAGAAAAATCTCAATATTCTATATCGTTAGTCTTATGTTAGGACAAATTGTATTAATAATTTCTTTCTAGAATTCTTCTAGAATTATTTCTTTAGAAGCACGAAAATACGTATTGCCGAGAAAGTAATACAAATCGTATCAATAATTTTACAATTTTAAGTCAAAATTATGAATATGCAAATCTGATAATTTTTGAATAAAATTCTTTAATTCTATTCTATCCAAAGTTCATGATATGAAGAATTATACGAATGATATGAATTACTCTAAAAATACAAATTTACATATACACATTATCTATTAAACCTATCTATTAATTCATACGAGAAATTTTCTAAAAAATGAAATTTTATAAATTTAATTATATATTAATTATTATTAATACAATTTGTCCTAACATAAGGCTAACGATATAGAATGTTGAGATTTTTCTTACCAAAAAAGTTTAATTTCTCATCTTAAATTAATATTACCATTTAAGTGATTATGCAATATATTATGCAAAATTTTTATTCATTTAGTATATAAATAACATAAGAAGATCATAGACATATGCCAGTTCGTGTCTTGATATGACAATGTGCTCGTACTTTAGCAAGTTCAAGAGAGAAATATCTTATCTGAGCGCACTTCAAAAGTGAACATTTCCACATTCAAGTGTATCGTGTTTCCTTCCGGTGTTCTTCGTTCATGATGGATAGTTTTTCCTGTTTTATTTGAGTTATTCGGGCAGGACAATTTCATGAGCGAACTCTTCAGTCCAAGTGCATTCAGGTCGTACTTACATTGTCAATGCGAAGAGGGACATTCTAGTTTCAAACGCGACGAGAATATACTATTTTATGTATCTATGAATGTTCTTTCAACTCAATCGTGGCAAAACCCGAGCGCGCATTTATCTTTTATGAGATGTACCACTTCCGTGTATTGAATCGGCGAACTTTGAGTTGTTACAAGTAGGCTGCGTTACATTCAAGAAAAAGATGAGTTTCGTAAATCCTCCGAAAGAAGAAAGATCTACCATTGCATTTTTAGTTCTGTAAATTTAATAATACATTTCTTATTATAAATTATTAGAGTCAAATTTATTTACGCTCAGAAATATTTTTGTTGAATGTGAAGTGTTGTGGAAAAATCAGTCAAAGATCAGAAAGGCTCGTTAAAAATCATCCCACTTTCCGCAGTGAAAAGGCTTTTTATGTCATGGATATTTTATCTATTCCGATGTCTTCGGATGTCTGTATAACATCGCGTTCATTTGGCCGTGAAGCTCATTTCCAACGTAGCGAGGATTATAATATTTCCCTTCGATTAATCGTATAATCAAATGGATGCGCACCATT